AGGAGAATGCTCTGAAATTTTTACAGCAGTTTGGATTGATGGATTCTATGATGAATGGGATGTTAATAAACAAAAGTTAAAAAAGTTTGGTAATCACAAAGTCATACTCAAAAAATTAGTAAATGTGAAAGGTGCTAATAGAAGTTGACTTGATGAGATAGTGATTTAAAGTTTATAAGAATATGAATTTTTGCTTTTTTTAAAAAAAATGATATCAATTGAATTCTCATTTATAGGCTAATACTCAATTATTATTAAGCAGTAATTGGAAAATTTTTGTTTTAGTTTTGATATTATTCAAAATCTTCAAAATAAAGATTATTTTCTTGTAATAAGTTTTTTTAAAATAGATTTAAGAAAATACTGATAACAATATCATCATCACCTTACATGGAAACAAAAATTTAATATAATTTACTCTATTATTAAAGCAATTTATTTCCTTCATTTAGAAAATTTAATTAATAAAGATTTACATTCAAGAAATATATTATATAATCAATCTTTAAATACTTGAATAATTAGTGATTTTAGATTTTGTGGTCCTGTTTGTTGATAAACCATTAAAAAGTATATATGGGAGGGTTCCTAGGAAAATCAGATTCTGAGAAATTTTTCATTTAAATTAAGAGCTTAATACATTTTAATCTAATAACATCAAAAACTAAAATGCAATAAAAATCTCAATTTTGTTAAAAAATTTCCAGAACCTGATTTTTCTAGCAATTAACCCATATGGTAATCTTCCTTATATAGCATCTGAGATTTCATCTGGACAACCATCTTTTACCAATTTTGATAATGATTATAATCTTGCAATAAAAATAATAAATGGTATGTGACTAAAAATAGTATTAGAAACACCAATGAAATATAAATATTTAATGATACAATGTTGGAATGCTGATTTATTAAAAAGACCTAGTATTAGTATTATTTATAATAAAATTAAGAAAATACAAGGTTTGTATGATCAAAATCAGAATAAAGAAACTGGCATTACTTTGAATAGTATACAATCAAATGGAAAATCTATTATTAGCTCTACTTCATTAATTTATTAGTTAGAAAATTAAGTAAATATTATATTTTTAAAAATATACCTGAGGTAAGTTATTTATGATTATATGAAAATTAAATTTTATTTTAACTTATAGAAAACAAGAGGATTATTATTTATAAATGTTTAAAAATTAATAATAAATAATTTAATATTAATTTAATTTTTTATTTTTATAAAAAAACTTATGATAGTAAGCAAAATAGTCTTAAAATTCCAGATAGTAAGTAATATATGTTTATATGTAATTTATAAAAAATTTATAAATTAATTTGATTATCTTAAAAAAAATTAAAGAAATATTTAAAGATTATATTGAAATGAATGTTTCTAAATAAATTATAGGATTATAAATGATTTAAGAAGATGTATTTGAAATTAAAATTCAAATCAATATTGCGTCTTCATAACTATTATCAAGATGATGAATACAATTGAACTGTATTATACAATAATGATCAAGGCAAAATTGAAATAATAGATAGATTAGCTATTCAAATATTATATCCTTCTATCTCTCTCTCTCTCTCGCTTTAATCCATAATATTAGCAATTTTAAGTCTTCCCTTTTCATAGAAGGTTGTCTCTCAAAATGCTTGTAATTTAAATTTTAGCATGGTTCATTTGCTAGATCTACGACCGTAACGCTTGACCACGAATAGCAAGCTATGAAACATTCCTTTTGAATGTTAGCGAAATTTCGATATCTAAATAGTTATTGAGCTTATTTATTTGATAATTTGTAAATCAACTATCGTTGTACTAGTTTGAATTATAGATTACGACTCGATATATTTGACATGAACATTTAAAGTTATTATAATTCTGTAATGTTGTCTCAGATTAACTTGTTAATTTAGTTAATTTAAGATTTTAAGAGTGTGCAAGTTTTAGTTTTTGCAAAAATAAAACTTGATCATACAATCCAAGAAATTTTATCTAGTTTATACTTTGACAGAAGATACATTAGCAGAAGAAATAATCGCCGGAATACATATATTAGGCGATGGGCAAATTGATCCATCAAATATAAAAACATAAATATCAATGTTACTAGAAGATAGAATAGTCATTATAAGGATTCTATTTATTTGCAAAAGATACTTCTATTGTTTATCATCCTATATATTTTAAAGTCGATAGGTATCTGAAAAATATAAAATTTTGACTAATTGTAATGTAGAATTCTCTAAACACACACATAATTCACAGAATATTCAATAATTTAATTAGGAAAAAAGAAACCAATGTAATACCATTTTTAAATTTTATGACAAGAATTAGTAATTTATAATGTTGAAATTCTTGTTTTTATCTGCCCAAATTTAACAAATAACTATTTTCAGATATTGAAATATTAACTTACATATTTTCTTTAAATTTAATGAGGCAGGATTCGAAATTGACCAGGATAAATTAATGAAACAACGGGATATAGTTTTGATGGTAAATTTTTCCATTCTGATACCGCTAGATATCTTGTTCCATTAACGGTAAATGCACAAGTCCTATTTTTCATATCTAAATGAACTGTAACTTTGATATTATCCTCTTTAAATGGAGGACAATAACTTAGTGTTGTAGAATTATGATATGTTGTACCCGAAGAACCCAATACCCATCCAGCAGACTGAAGTCCCGCAAAATTTTCATAATCAAGATTTTCTGATGTACATACTCCAACCCAAGCCCATACACAATTTTTCTCAATAATAACATCCCATTCAAAAATACCATCATTTTCTAAAGAGAATTTAGCTCTAACATTTTGATGTGAATTAGCACCATTTGGTGCTCGTACAACTTGTCCATTATCCTCAATAATAAGTTTTGATCCACATGCTGACTTATCCCAAACGTAACCAGATTCTTTAATTATTGGTATAACTCCACGATTTTCATTTAAAACAGTATTATTTGATAATGTATTATGACGATAAACATTTAAAATTGTTTTAAGTGGGACAATGTTTAATGGCTCGATGATATTAACTAATATCTGACCTTTAATTCGTCTGAAATCAATGAATTTTATCAAAGGTTCTAATTCCTTAGAAACTTTCTGGTAATCTGGGATAAGTTCATTATTAATTGGCTTTGAAACGTCTATGTTTTCTAAAGTTGGCAAACGTTTCACAAGTGTTTTGGCCGCATCTTTAGAAACTTGCCTTGCTATTAAGATAGCACTATATCGAAATACTTCATATTCAAGGGTTGCAAAAGTTTTATTCTTTTCATAAGTACAAGATAAAAGAAACTGAAGTGCTGAAGCAGATAAACGACCAAATTCAATAGCATTTAACGGAATAGTCGAAACCGCTTCGACTAGTAAATTAACCAGAATATTATCTTCTGCTAATGGCATCGCATCGACAATTGCAGATAACAATTCTGGTGAAAAATTATCTTTGGAATTCTTTTCTAAAGAAATTTTAATCGTCTTCGTAATAAAATCTTGAAGGTCTGGAAGTTGAAAGTAATCCGCAGCAATAAATGCTTCAATGATATTTTCTTTGGTTAAAGATTCCTCTTTAATAGCTCCTGTATAAATATATTCCAATATAATTTCCATTCCAGAAGAATTAATTTTTGAAAAAGAAATTTGTTTCTCATAACTTTCTCCTATTCTACTGTAAAGTAGCCTGTCAAATACTTCGGACCTTGCAGCTAAAATTGCTCTACATCCATATAATTTCTTTTCATTTTTGCATAATATTTCTATATCACTATATTTTGGGCTATTGATTAATAATCTTAAATCTTGTTCTAATGAATACCCTCTTGTCATTTTTGTTTCTTTTTTTTTTGAATAGAAATTTTAAAAGGGGGAAAGAAATACAATAAGAGGATTTTTTTTTGAAAATCATTTTATGTTATTTGTCTTCCATATTTGGGGTTTGGGTAAACTTCATTTTGCTACGTAATTTGGCCAACTTTAAATTGGAGCCGATCCATGCCCAGAATTGAAATTTCAGTCTAAACTTGAAATTTCAAAAATCACGTGTAATCAATTGCTTTGACAATAATTGTGATACCCAAGTTGTTTATTACCCTACTCAATTTCCAAATTTTAAATTGGTGCATTGCCCAAGTTTGAAATTTAAAATTGGATTTTCCGAAATAAATGTAGAAATAAAAAAGAAGAATTCTGAGTTCAGAGTAGAATTTTTTTTCTATAAAAGAATAAATAAAAGATGGTTAATGGGCCAACATTTTTAGATTTATCAGAAAATTTTAGGTGATTTTACCCAATTTTTATATTTGCGAAATTAATGAACGAAATTTTTATTAGATGGTATTTTCCTTTAATTTGACGGAGATAATTATCAACCAAACATCAAGAGTTCAGCCTTAATATTTTCAAATAAAAAATTGGAGATTTATTACAAAATTATACATTTTCTAATAAGCACTTTCCAAGAAATTTGTCATTTTTTTTATTTTACAATACATTTCACTTTAATTCTTCAAGAGACCTTCTTATTTTAATTATTCTATATTAGCAAAAACCGTCGAAATATAGGGAATTATAGTTCAAATTCAAAATGATAATATGAAAATATCCTTAAGTAAGAATGTAGCAACTATCTTCTAATAGTTGCAAAACAACTGATTAGTTGTGTATATAGACATGTCACTAACAATAAGAAATGCTAGGTAAGTGTTTTTAAATTCAAAGTGATAATTTAATGAAAAATATGCAATATGAACTCTAGAATACAAATCTTTTCTTTACATCGGAATTTAGTTAAGTCGTTTGTTTTTAAATCAATTTTAAATCAAGTTATTCAAAGCATGATTTTTTGAACCATCAAGATGTGTATCAAAAGCAACGGCTTATACTTCAAAAATTCCTTCTTCTATAGTTAGGAGTGAAACATCAAAGAACCACTGCCTAAATAATAGATAAGAACTTTTCGTTCACCACAAGCTTTCTTAATCAAACCATAGCAATAGCCGCCGCGGTTGCTTCATAATTATGCGCGGGGTTAGGATTAGTACAGCATTTAATATAAAATTAGTACAAGTACAGTTTAATTTTATCTAGTACATACAAATTTCCAACCCTGATTAGGCGTAATACATTCAAACCAGCGATTTCAACGGCACTTTTATTGCTTGACTTTAAACGCTAATATAAGATAAAAGGTAAGAATGAAATTCATATCAGTGATGATATAATTTTTATCTTAATATTGAATTAAATAACTTCGTCTCTAAAATTACGTCCAATGAGTTGTTTAACATTAAATACAGTATCATAAGGATTCATATTAACTTGATTTTTTGCAGCATCACCGATAAGACGTTCTGTTACAGTGAAAACGACATATGAAGTCGTCGTATGTCATTGATAAAAATTTCAATTCGATCGTTTTTCCAAATTCCCACGCAGGATGTCGAACCCAAATCGATTTCAGCTAAATTTAACAAGAGAAATTTTTATTTGTATTCAAAGTATAAAAAAAAGCTTTTTTTATGCATTTATCCCTTAGATTGTAGAGGTTCGCAGGCAAATTTGCCTGCTTATTTACTATAAATTCCCTTCTGATTTACTTTCATGAAAAATTAAAATTTTTTTAATATAAATATGTATTATATTATAGTAATTTTTATTTTTTAATTATATAATAAATAATTTACAGTTACTTATAAGCTAAAAACTTGTAATTTTTAAAAAATTATAAATTTAAAAATTTTATCATTGACCTTTGAAAATCTTATTAACATTTATTTTAGCAATATTAATCATAATAGAATATTATAAACTTTATCATGAAGAATAACTTTAATTATTATACTTTTTATAACTTACTAAGAAATTTTATGGCTTTTATTAGTAGTAATGTGATTCAATTAGTTCGCAAACATATAAATTTTATAGAATTTTTTAAAAAATCATTATAATAAATTTTTTAAAACTTCAATTTAAAAATTAAATTATTTAAAAAATATCTTATAAACTTAAAATTTCTTCTAATAAAATTAATAAAAAATATATTAAGCTATATTTTTCATATAATTATTAAAATTAATATTTAATATTTTATTAAAAAAAATAACAAATTTTTTTAAGTTCACAGGCAAATTTTCCTGCTAGACAATCTAAGGGATACCAGCACTTCCATTCGATATTATAATAAAGATTTAAATAGAATTATGGAAAGAAGTTTGTTTATTTAGATAAAATATACTGTATATATATACACTCCCCTGAAGAAAGTATCCGGGCATGGCTTTTTGCGAATTGTAGCTTAATTATATTATGTTTTTAAATAAA